GCTGTCGAAGAAGCCGCTTGTCTTACTGCGAGCCAAAGTGGCATCCAAAAAAAGCCTCCAGAAAGGTGACCTGGACGGGCTGCGCGAAGCCCTCAACATCTCATGGCAGGCCTGAGATGAAACGGTGCCGCGGGTCTCGCAGCAGTTCGAGCGTGGTCATCCGTGTTTCCCCGCAGACATGGTGGAAATAGATGGAAGTCGAAGCAAAATGATCATGAGCTCGTTTATTGGACACGCCTCTTCCTGAGGGAATCCACCAGAAGCGAAGCCTTTCAGCTTCGCTTTGGGCTTCGCAGGGCTTCTCCTTTGGTTTTCACCCCGCGGCTTTTGGCCGATCTGTTGACGACACCCCACCTGCTTTCGGCTCGCTTCGGTTTGACGGGTTGCCAGGTGCCTCCCTGGCCCAGCGACAACTCCACCCCGCCGGGGATGGCGCTGGTGTTCACCCGCCAGGGCCTGCTGTTGCAGGCCAAAGGGAGGCTTCGGGGAGGCTGCCGTAGGGTTTTGGGGGTCACTGTGATACATTTGGATGGTGCCCACTTTTGTTGAGTTGCTTGAAGGGGAAATCAGAGGGAAGCCACACATGCAAAGGCTTACAGTTTGGTTGAACATAGATGAGTCGCACAGGTTTTAGGTTGATTCTATATAAACGCTTTGACGAACAACCGCTCCTGAGCTAGGGCAAGCCCAGATCCACCAAGGTCCGTTGCAAAGAACGCCTTGGCAATGACTTGCAATGTGTACGCAAAGAGAGGCCTCAACTCGATGCTTGTTCAAGGTGAAGCAGGAAGCTGCCCCTCTGTCTAGGCGCTACTCAACGGCCATGACTAGTTTCTTGTTCCATTGCACGTCAAGTCCACCGCAGAGACGCTGCTGACCAATTTTTGTTTGGGGCCGGGCCAAACTAGCCTAGGAAATCCTGAAAGCAGCGGAAAATGGGCCATGTGATGAAGCCGGCTGATGTAGCACATACTCCACACGCCAAGTGGCCAAGTGAAACCTCCCTCTGCTGGTAGCTGCCTTTTGCTGATCTTCGGCCGTTTTCCCCACAGGGAGCCACCAGGGCAGCTCCCAAACCCTTGAGTCGAGATAAGTGTTCTACTAGCTGGCTGCTAATTTATACAGCCAGACTTGTGCGAACCCGGCAAAGAACACGTTAATTGTAACTTGGCTGAAATTGAGGGAGCATAAAACCATTGTTGCATCTTCCCGGTTTCATGCGGTTCCATGTCACGTAGGCGGAGGCCCTCTACGAGGTCCTGGACGGCGGGAAGACCCCGGAGATCCGCACGGCACCGATTTTGGCACGGCTTCCGCTGCAAGAAGCCAAGGTGTGGAAGGGGTGGGTGGGTGGGGGTGGGGGTGGGGGTGGGGTGGGGGTGGAGTTGGGGGTGGGGGTGGGGGTGGGGTGGGTGGCTGGCTGGCTGGCTGGCGGGCGGGCGGGCGGGCGGGCTGGCGGGCGGGCGGGCGGGCTGGCTGGCTGGCTGGCTGGCTGGGTGGGTGGGTGGGTGGTGGGTGTCAGTGTGGGTGTGGGTGTGGGTGTGGGTGTGGGTGTGGGTGTGGGTGTGGGTGTGGGTGTGGGTGTGGGTGTGGGTGTGGGTGTGGGTGTGGGTGTGGGTGTGGGTGTGGGTGGGTGGTGTCAGTGGGTGTCAGTGGGTGTCAGTGGGAGTGGGTGTCAGTGGGTGGGTGGGGTGGGGTGGGGTGGGGTGGGGTGGGGTGGGGTGGGGTGGGGTGGGGTGGGGTGGGGTGGGGTGGGGTGGGGTGGGGTGGGGTGGGGTGGGGTGGGGTGGGGCCACAAAAGAGGGGAGAACCTGCCAAAGGGCCATTTGCTAGCGCATTGCAACGAACTTTGGTTGGACAGAAACCCACAAATTCCGATCCGCTGGGGAAGTTGGAAGAGCGGGACATGTTGATACCTGGTGGAAAATTAGTCGGCGACTTTTTTGCAGTGGGATGACTAGATGACTAGGTAGTGTAACTGGGGCAGTGGGCGGTGAAGGGAAGCCGCCAGGTTGGCTCCTGAACGAATCGGCAAAGTTACCTCGTCCAACAAGTTTCTGCTGAAGCGCCAGCGCTTGGCGAATCCTTTCTGACCAGACGGCATGCCGGTCTGAAGCTGCAGGCACGGGTCCTGCAGTTCATCCAGAAGCACGCAGGCCGTGGGGCAAGGGATACTCGGAGAAGCCGCTGGACGTCAGCTCATAGACGCGTGCGCGTTTTTGGCAGGCACTGGGCCCAGGTGGCACACTTGTTTAAAAATGGCCCCCAGCTTCTCACTTGCTTGGACAATCGCTCGACACTTGACTCATTTAAAATGATAATGCCTGCCGCCCAAGCAGTCTGACAACTGCAGCATTGCAAGGCGTGGGAAGCGGATGCGAATCACTGGACAGCCTTTGCAGGTCAACCCTGCATTGATGCCTGCTACAGCCACTTGGCATGAACCAGCGACACCCCAACGCATGCGCTTCCCTGCATCGAGCGGTTTCCGCAACCACTTGCAGTCAGGCCATTTTTGAGGTCAGTTTTGAGTCCCATCCACGAGGTTGGGGAAGAGGCTTGATGCGAAAAGGAAGCATCAGCTGTGGCTGTGCAACTCGCAGTTCTCGCCTCACCCCACCATTCTACCATTCGATATGTGGCTGTCAGACTTGGGAACCCGCTTCAAAGGAACCCAGAAGTACACCAAAATTGGATGAGGGTCTTCAGGCTTGTTGTTGAGACATCCCCATGTGCTTTCGTGACACGCAATATGTCCCACGGACGCCCTGCAGCTTACCTGACACCACGTGGCCTCGCAAGACTGCGCCTGCCCTTTGGACAAGGGGCTCAAGGCAAGCCTTTGGGACACAAGATTGCAAGGATGGTCGGATAGCTGCAGTCAGGCCTCTTTCCATCACAAAGTAGTTTCTGCTCATGTGACATGTGTACAAATATGTTTTCCTTCTGGCTGCAAGGTTTCCGGCAAAGATGTGAGCTTCAAGCCATCCTCCGTTGATTTGGTCCCAAGTCATGCGAGCTTCGACTAATCTGAGAAATCCTTCCACAATGACTTGCCACTCAAAAAGGACCACTCCCTTTTAACATGATGCGGATGATCCGAAGTTGGGCCTGCGTAGCGAGGTGCTTTGGGCTAACAGCCCACCGGCACGGCAACGTGCACTTTGCTTTGCAATGTTTAGAGCCTTCAGCCGCCTGCTCGGGCGCCTAGACAGATGACATTTGAGAGTTGTCCAATGGTTAATAACGGGGATACCCTTTTTGGACCCTGCGCCTATCCCCTCAAAAGGGAACCAATGGCAGCAGAGTCCCACATTGTAGGCCTTTTTGTTGGGACAACCATGACTTGAACAAGTTGCATAAAGCGGATTGGGCAGGGCTCCTTATATGTAGCCAAAGCGAGCGTTGGATCGATCCGGGCCCGGGTACTTCAGCTTCGGGAGGACATTCGACCGTTGTGATCAGCTTGACATGGACGGCCTTTGGGCTAAAAAGCCCAAGTTGCAAGAAGAGCCCTGAAATGCAATCCAAATGATTGATTGAGACAAACACGCTGGGAAACAATCCGGTGAGTGCTAATCCCGGATGTTTGCTTGATGGTTTGACGGTGATGGCCCCGAGCATCCAGTTTCCAGATGTTTCGCGAGTTTGTCTGACAGGTTGCCTTTCAACAAGTGAGGGATCACATGTTCAGCATTTGAAGGCTCTACTTCTCAGAAGCTATTGCAGTGTTGGTTACACAGCACTTTGCTAAATCCTTTGCTACTTCTATTTGTGGATCAGCGCTGCAAACAAGGTGACGCAGTTGCTGGCCAATCTCTTTTGGCCGTTGCGCTTTCATAATTGAATGACAGCTGGTGAGATAGAGCACTTCATGCTGTGGATCAAAACGAAAACTACTATGCACTGAGCATTATGTGAGCAGTGGGACAGCTCGTGTTTGTTTCCCGTCCGTGCCTCCACAATGTTTGTCCCCATGTTGGACCTGCCAAATCGTGAAGCTTGCGCAAATGCATGCCTAACTTGTTAACCGACGGCTTGTTTGTGATTGCCCGATCGCCGTACCATGGAGCGGTTGAGGAAGATGTGCCCAGGGAGGGTGAAGTGATCGACAACAGCATCAATAGGAGGCTGACACTGCCCTGTACAAACACGCATGCCGATTGCGGCCCTGCACTCCTTTCAGAGACTACTGAGGGGCATGTCCACGTTGCAACAAGGATTTAGATTATTCCCAGTTTGCAGACTACTTGTTGCGGTCCCTATCCAAACGTATCTTTAGCAAGGATCCGGGATCCGACGACTGACAACAGTAGTATTCGGGGGTTACTCGGCAATCGTAACTTGCCCGCCGCCGGGATCTGTTGAACGAGGCCCTATTCTGCGAGAGCTGCTGACTGGCGCTGGCCGGCGCATAGGAGAAACAAGATGTGCGGCTGGCACTGCGAGAGGGGGGAGAACAGCCGCGCCCAAAGTCAAGGTGTGTCCCCAACAGCTGGAAGTCGCCCAGATAGGCCCCGGAGCGGTTCGGAGCGGGGTTTCGGCTAAGTTCTGGGGGTTGTAAGGTCTGACGCTTGTATTTGGAACGCACCTCCAGTCCCGGGTCAGGTGTGAGATCATTGGGTCATCGGCGATCAGAGACTCTGTTTCAGTGCCAGATCCAAAAGGGATCGCACATTACTTTGCAGTTGCCAACTCGTCATTGCAGCCATTGCTTCTTCATTCCAGGTCGCACGTGGGGACACAGGAACATGGCCCAGCCACCCTCGCCTTTGCAGTTTCCCCTCCCCCCCCATGGCTTGAGGCCAATGGCAGACTTTAGGTTTCCAGTAGCAACTTTGCTCAAGCAACCCTTGGTTTGGGTTGGGGAGTTGAATGCCCTGAGGGTAAATGAGAAACAAGCTTCAGCTCGAAACCAAGATTGTTCTGGTCTGAAGAGAGTGCAGGGGAAAGCCAATCCGCCAAGAGGGAAGCTGATGGCTATGGGTTGTCGTGACCAGGCCAGCAGTGGTGCGAGCTCCCCAAGGAGCTCGCAACCACCTTGGCGCGAGGACCCAGTGGGTCTCCCCTTTTGTGTAGCGTCCCTTTGCCTCTACCACCAACCCCAAACGGACCTTGAAGAAAAGACACGCCCAATGTGTGTGTGTGTGTGCGCGCATGCTTGGCATGTGGCCTCAGCCTTTATGTGGTTATGCGTGAAAGAGTAGACAAGCTGGATGCTCCATGTTCCATAGTTGTCATACTGTCCGATTTTTCTAGACCGCTTATTGAACGCCCGACACACATACATAATATATATAATATATATATATATATATATATATACATAGATCACTCCCAGGTATCCACAAGGCAAGGTTGACAGGCTTGCGCCGTGGGTGGCTCACATCTTTGCCCCCAATATCTTGGCTGCCCCAAAACCTACCTTTTGAACAGTGGCTTCCCAATTTTCACTAAGTTTGCTTGAGTCACAACAAAATTAGCTTCCCGCTTGAACGAGGGAGGGGGCGGTGGTAGAAAGACCGTGAATCGAGCTTGAACGATGGCTCCGTGGCTTGCCGAAACTCCTTGCTTTCCAGGGCCACAACCAAGAGGCTTGTTGCAGCCTTCTCCAGTGAAGGGCGGGCATGTCAGCGCAGTTCAACTGGTTGGCTGGTCCTCGTGCCACCAGGTTGAGCTCCCCACATGGTTTGGAGGTTTGGTAGAGCACAAGGATGGAATTGCCCAAACAGACAGACCCTCTTAGACCTAGGCAGGCCCTAGGTGACTGGGCCCGGGAGCCAAATCGGGGCAACCATCTAGCGGTTCTTTAATAGGAAATCCGGCAAGGGCCAAACTTAGGGACCACACCAAAAGGCAAAGATTGTCAAATGAAGCACGCATTTGCAGGTTGAGGCCTCAAACAGCTGGCTGAGATGCGCCCAGTTGGTCAGCAGCCACTGCTTTCTTCCAGATGGTCCGTCAGTTATCCAAAAAAACACGGGCTCCAAGCAAACAGTCTACATAACAGGCAACCCCTACCATTTGAGGGCATGGAAAAGCGACTCAGCAAATCATCAGAACTGAACCACAAATCACCAGAAAGGCATAACCATGCTTGCTTTGTTGTTACCCATCGCCACTGAGTCCCGGTTGCCCGGTTACACATCCCCACTGGAGGTGCCCTGGGAGACCCAAGAGGCGGGACGGCTCACCTCTATGGCCTGGTGAACTCATCAGATCTTTGCGAATAGGGAATCGCTCGGTGGTCCTGAAAAGCAGAAGGCAACACGTGCCAACTTGGAGCACCTTATGTTTGTTGTTGGTTCGGTTTTACGAGCGCGTGGTGCTTGTTTGCGTCCAAAATGCACAGAGGCGTTTCCTGGCCTGGCACTGTTCATTTTCTAGCTCAGAAATTGAGATGAAAGCAAGCCCAAAGTTTAGAATGTCGGGAACAAAACACTGGTAGCATGAAAACACACGTGAGCACGTGCTCAAGTTTTTCTTGTAGCATGTTTGATCAGAGGGTTGGCACACAACACAGAGTTTGCAACCAAAAGGTTGGCCATGAATAGCCAACATACAATGCTGCCTGTATCAAATGGAAACGGATTAATCTGCAACTCGCCAGGAATGCTTGTACGGAACAGCTGTTGAGCATCTCGGAACCTTTTGGCAGCAAACATGCTCCACACCCAGATTCCAGCAAACATGCCGTGATAGTAGCCAGGACTTTGAACCGAACATGTGGAGCATTTAGGACAGCTAAAGCCACTCAGGCGGACGAAGCCGGCAATGAACAATGGCAATTCGTCAGACACTCACGCGACGTGCAGCCCACAGCCTGGTTTAGAATTCCCAAATCCACAGTCCGAGAGTCAACAGACTATGGTATGATGTGCACCCAGGACTTAAAAGACCGGTTGATTTAATTGGGGGTGTCCAATTTGTAAATCCGGGGTCACCCTGCAGTCTGCTTCGAGTTGCAGGAAGACCTTAGCCAGGTTTGAGCTTGATTGACCAAGATAGCATTGGTGGAGCTCATAGGCTCATGAGTTGAATCAAGGGGGTCAAGTAGCCCAACTGTACCGAGGGACAAATGAATTTTTTGGCACGCACACGCAACCATGCTAACTGTCAGCAAAGCGTATTCAGCCATTGGGTTGCCTTCCGTACGTGTGCCAGTCAACAGGTAGCCCCTATTGCCTACGGCTAAAGTCGTACTCCAACAAGGTCATGCCCTGAGAGAAATGAGCAACACGTGGGCAATCCAGCGTACCGAAGTACGGGCTTTTGGGGTAAGGACCTCCGCCCAACTCTGCGCGACTGCTAGGCGCAGCTCGTGGAATGCTTGCGAGGGGTGCAGCAGGCGATTGACAGCTCAGTGTCGAGCATTGACATGCGGACGGGTATGTTTGGTGACCCATGCGCGTTGATCTCTGACCTCATAGGACCTTTTTGCTGTTTATGTTGGTCGTCCCAAACCGATTTGTCCTGGCTGTTGGGTCACCTTTGGTGAACGTAAGGTGTGGTTCTGTAGTTGTGCTTATCATAGTTTGTTTCGCTTCCGGCAGCGTGTTAGACGTATTGCTCCTGCTCCAAGCCAAATCTGCATATCTTCATGGCATTCCAGACCCCATTGCGATGCATTGCGCATTAGTTGCAGGAGTTGCTCAGAGGCTCGATGCCAGGCGCTGCAGGCCGTTTGCACTCAGTTGTACCAGCAGCCGGGAGTGCAAGGGATGCAGGCGCAGCGCTGGCAGGACTGGAGGGTAGTCCCGGGTCCCATTTTGGCGAACCCAGGTTTGGATGAGGACCAAGCACAAACCGGGTGTGGTCCCCGAATGTGGAGACAAGACCATATGGGTTTGCTTTGCAAGTAGGCCAAGGGTAAGGGAAGGAGACCAGCAGGAGGCGAAGATAGGAGGGTAGTGGCTGGGTGGGTGAATTGCTGAAGATGGCAACGGTTTTGCTTTGAGGTTCATCCCGTACTCGCGAGTCCCTCAACAGCCCAGAAAGCCTAGCATTCCCTTGGGTCGGATACGCTGTAGTGCGCACAAGTCAATTATCGGCCCTAGATGCAACAAGAGTTGCTGAGCAGGTGAAGTTATGTAGCATGCCCCTCTCAATTTCTGTAGGCGGGCAAACTGGCAAGATTGATAACCGTCGAACGTTCCACGAGCACGTGGCCAAGCAACCTTGCTGGCCGACACGAGCACAAAAACAAGGCATTGTCGACAAGCCTCTCCGGCAGGATATGTACGGAGGGTCAAGGCTTGGCGGCGCTGATTTTTGTTCAGGGGTGACTGGGACCGATCTCCGGGATGTCCCGCTCCAACGATTGCAGTACGCCGAATGGGGCCAAAATATACCAAAAGGCCCACGGACAATCACGGACGTTTTCGGTTCTGTAGGTATGGTTTTGTGTTTGCTTTCTTGGGCAGGGCTCCTTAAAAGATACGTGTTGCCCATTTGAAACATGGCTTTTTGTTCCACCAAAATGGAGGGAAACCACCATTTGCAAGGCAATGTTCAGGTGTATAATGTAAGGATCCCTGTTGGGCTTGCCTTGGATCTTCCACAATGGTGTCCCCCCATTTCGGTATGCCCATCGCCGCAGGAAGCCGTTTCCGCCTGGGATGTTGCCCAGAAGGCGCTTCTGCGAGGCTTCGGGGCTAGCGTCAGGTCAACTTCGCTGATGTTCGATGTGCATTTTTCATTGTTTGCATTCATGTGGTTTGCATTTTCCACTGTTTCCACTGTTTGAATTGTCCAATCCCATCAAGTCTTGTTGGCTTGTGGCTGCTATGAGTTGTGTGTTTTTGTACAGCCTGTTGCCGATCATAGACGCCAGCGTTGCTGCTCAGCAGGGTGGTTCCTCAAAGTCTGATTTATGCAGGCTGTTCGTCTTTCTAGTTGTGTCGCAGCCACAAATGTGGTGTGTCTCCTGAGGGTCCGACTGCCGAAAAAGGGAGGCATCTTTGCGTCCCTTGCTCCTGGCCTTGTGCATCAAACATCCTCGCCAGATGCTGCCCAACAGCCCGCCTGCGCTCGCCGCGAGCTGCGTTCAGCGCAGCCAGCGGCGTTGCTGTCTGGGGCGTGGCTTGGAAGAAGGGCATGGGCACTCCTTGGAACCAGTCAACGCTCGCTTCTTGGGGGTTTGTTGTGTCAGATCAGTGAAGCAGTGTAGTTAACTCACCCAGAACCCACAGGTGTGTGGTGGTTTTGTCCTGCGGATGTTGTTTGCTTCATTTTGCAGCCATGCCTGTGGACCCTGACAACTTGCTTTACATTGTGGACACCCTGACTCATTCACATGAAGAGCGGACAGTTTGAAATTAAACTTGCCCACGCTGAAAGCAAAAGGCAAACCTTGGCCCAAACACTAGAGGACGGTTTGATTTGCTTGTCCCCTACCCCTCAATTCAGGGGGCCTATGCTGCCAAGACAAGGGGATCATTGCAAAGGAAGACGGAAGAAGGATGAGAAACAAAATTAGCCTGGCATGACACCCTCCGAGGTAACAGACCTTGAAACAATCCTTGGACGTATTGGCGCAGCCCGGTCCTGCGTTCCAACCCATGTCTGAGCGGAGAGCCCCTGATCCTGGCAGCTGCACTCACACGCCGGCAATGGGTTGCGTCAAGCACAGACGCAATCAACTTGCATGAACAAAGACTTTGGCACGATGGTTGCAAACCAATGTTCGCGGTTTCAGTCTGGATTTAGCTCTACTTGCTAAAGGCAAAATATCCAATGGTGAGTTTCTGAAAAGGAAACCACACAGGGATGGGCCCTTGGCTGGCTATGTGGTGAATCCTGTTCCCGTGATTTTACCCAGGAAACTGACCCGTGACATCGTGGTTCTTTCCCCATTGGCCCGAGGTCTGTGCGCTTCGCCGCCCTGGCACGCAACAACGCGGCGCCCAGGCAATGGGCCAAGGGCCCGACTGGCTGCCAGTTACATGCGTTGAGGGCATGTCATTTTTGTTTGAGGGGACCAGGTTGTCCCTTGCATTTTAGCGAAAGGCCAACAAGTTCAAACATGTTTCGGGCGGTCAACCTAGCAAGTCAGAGCAACTGAGAAAAGCCAAGTTCTTCCGTGCGGGTGGACAGTTGCTTGCATTTAGGAAGCTAAGCAACACGCTATCACACAAATCGAGCAATCGCCGGGCAACCACTGGTTTTGAGTTGCTCGGCCGTGCTTGCCAACTTGCTGTGAGTCAATGGCATGCTGAAGAGCACCATTCTGGGGCCTCAGCGAGGCAAAGCACGGCATTTGGCTAGGGTTTTGGGGAGGGATTGTCAGGAGCTGGCTCTACCACTTTCAGAGCACCTGGCGTATGGTGTGGCACCTCAGCTTTGGGGTACTGATTTCTTGGGAGCGCACTTGGGGGATACAAGGCATTTGCCGGGTAGATGAAGGTTAGTAAGGGGCAGTCCCAGCCAGAAAAAGTTGTGGCCGCCTTCTCAATTCTTTACATGGTTCTGGGTGCACCATTTTTGTAATTACCGGGTTTTGATGGTGACTCAGGTGCTGAAGCTCGTAGAGTTCCTCCAGGTCTTGTCCCTGGACGGCCAGAAGCTCAGACAACTCCACAGTCGGTCGGTCGAAGGGGGGGGGTTGTGCTACTGGCAACGCGGGGGTTTTCTGGCAACCCTAGGGAAAAGCGCCTTTCTGATGGCAGAGCCTCCAAAGATGTGCGCTTGCGTGCGCTGCGGATGAGGGAGTTTGCCATTTTACCTCGGCTTTCAGAAGGCAAGAGGCACGCACCCTAAGAGAGAAGATTTCCTCTACCCCCACTCCTATTGGTGTTTCAGTTGCGGCTGCTACTTCTTGATTCAATGGGGGTTATGGTAAGGTCCAAGCCGGCCCCGGCAAAGTGTCCAATCCTTGGCCTCGTTGCCATCAAGACTGGCTGCCGAGCCGCGCGGAGACAGGCACTGTTTAGGGAGTGCACTGTTTGATACCTGTCCGTAGCTAAAAGATCCTTGTTAACATGGTTCTCATCAACAAAGTAGAAAGTACATATCAAGGAAAGCTAGCTGGTTTGCACACCATGAGCGCAACAATAAAGCGTACTGGATGCGGCCCGCCGCACAGTCATATGAAGAATGAAGTTCTGCGAGGACAACTTGTGGAGAAACATAAGTTCGACAAGTGTATGAAGATAAGCTCTCAAGATGTATGGGAAGAGGTTGGGCTTGTATGTTTGGCACAAACGCGCTGAGTGTTTCGGGTGGCCGAGGATTTTCCATGGTGTCGGACCTCGCCTACTGGCTGCACCGCCGCGCCTACCGCCAGGACTGGTTGACCCACGGCCTGGATACAGCTTGTTACGCGGATCTCTTCTTGGCGAAATCAAGTCTGTGCAAGTCCCGAGAGATTGGTACAAGACGGATGGGTAGGGCACCTTGAACCATCGCAAAGCACATGTTTTTGCCCCGGGGTTGGAAGAGGGCCTATTCTGAGGCTTCGCCCATTGATTCCAAGCAGCCGTCGGAAGGATATCCTTGTCACGAATCATAGTTACATGTTGCGTGTGTCAGGTCCTTGCGCGGGAGCACGGTGATGATTAGCTCGTGCTAAGTATGGTAATGTTTTATAGTTTTGACACCAGCAAGTGCCAATCGGATCATCGCAACAGCCATGCCCAGCATGATACATTTAGTTATAGCTCTTGGGCCGATGAGGGGAGCCTTGGTTTTGTTAAGATTGTCCCTTGTTGCGGCATGTGTTCACGCTAACAACATTCAAAGCTGTTTCTGGACCGGGCAGCATGTGGAGGGCCGCCCAATTGTCCCACAAAGCTCAGGGGGCGTTTCTCCCATTCCCCACATTCTCTTGGGGAGCACTGTCTCCTTTGAGAGATTGGAAAATGCTTGGGGCGCCCTGAAAGTGTAGGGCTCCTCTTGGATGCCAAACTTGTCCCAAGGTTGCAAGTATGTGTATATTATAATATATATGTGTATGTGTGCGAGCAAGCCGACAACCCGCTGCAAAGAGTCAGCAGAGAGTGAAGATGCCCAATGTAATTATAAGGCCAACTCCCCGAGCAAATCCCGCCGGGATTTCGTATCAAGATAACTTGATGCCACAGCGCTCGGCGGCACCCAAGGGTTTTGAAAACACATCCTCCCCCTTTCACGGAGGTCCCGCCAGCAAGCTTTCACACTCTGCCTCAATCTTTTGGCTGACTGAGCCACCTTCCTTGAGTAGTCACTGGGGTTGGATAAGTTTAGGCACCCTGCGCCCTTTTCCTTCAGGCCGGCCAGAGCGAGCAGGAGCTTTGGTCCGTGGTAGCCAAAGAGCTGCCAACCTTCAGGCTGGTGCTCAAGCACAAGTGAGCCGCATGTGTTGGGATTTCGTAGTGTTCTTGTTGCTACTCATGATCATTACGAGATATCGTTATTTGTACAGTTACCTTTGTTCTTGCCGTTCTTGCTTTGTGCTGCATTGTGCGCTATTGTCGTTCTTGTCATGCTCATTGTTAGATATGCTTTCGTTGTCCATGTGTTTGTTCCTGCTTTTGGCGTTTGTCCCTGCTGCTGCCGCTGCTGCCACTACACATTACGTTGCTGCGACCGTGCGTGCTGTGCTCGTCAGACGTGCAGTGATACCTGAGATGGTGTGGCGGTCTTGAAGTCTTGGATGATTAACTTGTCATACCTTGACATAGTTGTCCGTGTTCAGGCAGAAGCAGCCCTTGGTGCCCTCGCTGATTTCATTCGTTTCCGCACGCTGTAAGAGCAATCCTTCCAAGAACCCAGGCATTGTTGGTAGAGACTCTCATACCTTTTTCCCCGGCGTGAATAAGGCGCAGTGCTCACCATGCCGTGTTTTCCACCGGTCCCACTGTGTTACGCTATGATTCTCGCTGGGTCCCCAAGCAGCGCCGCTCCCTCGAGGATCGCCACAGATGGGGCGCCGCTGCGGCACGACGTGGGCGCGCCCTTCGTGGTGGACAGGGCCCTCGCAGCAGAGAAGCGCGGACAGGCGCGGCGAGCGGTTCGGCAGCTGGGTGGTTCTCAGGGAATCACCGCGGGGTCTGGGAGTGTTGGATCCCATAAAGGAAGCCACAAGGGATGCAATTTATAGGGGTCATTCCGTCGGTTCTCCACTGAGAACCAAACAAGGCAAGGAAGCTCGCTGTTTCCGCACTTCCAGCGAGCTTGGTGGGGTACAAGATGAAGGTCCCTCAGCCATTTTTCAATGTAGGTTCATGTGCAGCGCTGTATATACTGCACACCTTGATTGATCGCCCCTCCCCCGCACCCCCCGCTCCCCTCAATCAATCCCCCAGAAATAGACGACCGCGTGGCAAATGAATTGGTTTGGAATTAAGTAGTATCGATTGGGCCAACTTTCAGCTGGAGCATGGGATTTGAGGGGTGTGCACGAACTGCCTAGAAACAACTCTTGCATGAACAGGGTTGCACTGAACCTCAAACCAATGTCCAACCTGCTAGGACAGAAAATCGATATGTGGTCCTTTTGTCCTTTTCCAAGGAATAACTTGCTGCCTCGTTTCCCAAAAAGCGCCTGACTTCCTGTTTTAATTTCAAAGGACCAGCTTTCTACCCGTGAAAGCTGAGCCGAGTTTGTTCACAGCACATGGCCTCCAGGCGCGGGTGGTGGAGGTGGGGGTCTTCCAGGCCAACCTCTCCCATCACCTCTGGCGACGTAGCGCCCGGCTGCGAGGGCAAGGCGAGTGGTCAGCGGAAGTCAGAAGGAGGGAGGCGGAGATAGGGAGAGAGATGGCGCCCAGGAGGTGTGTGGAGTCTTCTCCAAAAATGATGTTATACTTGGTCTAGGGGAGTGACTGTAGGCGAAATATGGAACGAGGTCAGAAAGCTTTTATAGTTGTGTAGTTCAGAGGTGGGCCAAGGTTTTTCTAACTGTCGCCAGTTGCCCCTCCTTCCTTGCACCAAGACACAGGCATAGGTGTCCTTTTGGTTGTTTTGGTCGAAAAATAGATGGCGATTCCTGGTTTACCTGGTGGTTTTATCATCTACCAGGGCCATCTATTTCCCCTAAACGGACACCTATGGACACAGGCGTTTCCCGTGTTGGGTCCCTTTGCACGTCGCTTGCGGCTTCCATCGGCAGGCCGCGTTGAGCTGCACTTGGTGGACCATTGGGGCGCCCCCAATGTGCCGCTGCTGCGCCGCGGCCGGGTGGCGGCGTGGCTCGGTTTGGCGCACCGACTCGCACCCGACCCCGTGGTTGGCGGCTTTTTTGGGGAAAGCGCGCTTTGGATGGAAGAGATCCGTAGAAATCCTGCCGAAACCCCATGAACACTATGAAACATGTTTGGATACAGCGCCTACCAACTGGTGCAGGATTTTGTTTGTCCAGCCACTGGCAACAAGAAACCTGCTTCGGATGTATGCTGTCGGCCTTCAGAAATCGAGGGAGGGGCTAGTTTTGAACCACGGCCACTCTCCATGCAGTCACCTGTTGGTTCTTTCAAGCCCCGCTATGGCTTCGCATGCTGAGAGCCCAGTGTGTAGAAGCAAGCCATTTGCTTTGATTCGCCAGAACCATCTTGCGTGTGGTGTGTCATTACGCTAAAGGGAGCAACATGGCGTGTTCGTGTGAATGCCAACAGGAAGTGCAACGTCCACCAGCATTGCTGGAGCATTTCGAGTTTAGGCTGATTGGTGATGTGATCACCCTTTCTGCTCAAACATTGGTGCCGGCACCAAAGACCAGCAGTGTTCCTGCATCCTTCATCTCCTGCCGTTTCATGTCGGTTGCTGCCGAAAGACAACCAAGAGTGGAATGAGGCAATCCCTGTGTTCTGTGTTCTGTGGTTGAATGTGAAATACAGGCGGCCGTTTGTGCCATCGGTTGGTGTCCATTGTTTGTCCATCCAAACTCCCAATCTCCACATCCCCAGCCACACTAGGTTGGCACAGAGGACACGGTGTTCAAAACGGTGGAAAGCTCCTTGAGATTCTACCATCCGCGCTGGAGCAAGGTCCAGTGGATTTTTTTGCCTTCCTCCATCGCCCCCAAAAGGGCGCCTAGATCAATGATTTATGCATTTGTGTGTTCCCTTTATTGCTGCCCTGTAGTTGCCTTTTCCAAAACGAGCAAAGTGTACCCTCAAACAACGGCACCCTGATATGTCTCCACTCACCCTGAATGTTGGAGCATTTGGCGACAAGCCCGTGTCTCTCCACACACCTCGACCGCGACACATTGGTTTCCTTTAAAGCTCATCCAAGCCAGGGCTTCCTGGCCACAAGCGCAGACTTCCCTGCAGATTTTCCCATTTTTCGTCCAGCAAGAAGGTCCTTTTGGAAGACATGGCTCGCCCCCCTTGCTTCCTTTCGCCTTGGAGCTCGCCCTGGCGCTCGCTCGGCTGAAGCTTCGATTCAGCGGCCGAAGCTTCCTGTATGGGTCAAAATTAAAGCACCAGGAATTGGACCGCAGGTGTTGGTACCAATACCCATTTACCATTTTGGTCTTGGAAAAATGGGTACCCAATACCCAAAATTGGTTTTGGGTCCACACCCAGGTTTTTTCCATTTACGATTTTGAAGAAAAAAAAGTACCCTAAATGGGACCCTTCCTTGGGTTTCATTTGCCCTTAATGAGACCCCATACCCATTTTTGAGCCACAGCCGGCCGAAGGTGGGCACGGGCTCGGACATGGGGGGCCAGAGCAACGCCTCGGCGCTGCTAAAACTCTGGCGCCGCTTCGAAGCCCAGGGCGCCCAGGGCTTCGAGGTGCCGCACTGGGACGCCAGGCGCGGGAGATGGTTCTTGCGCTTGGTTGGTTTATGTGTGTTGTTGTTTGTTGTTTGTTTTCAAACAATTTTCATCACAATCACAAGACCCCCTCAAGTTGTTTTCTTTTTTTTGTCTTAAGAGGTTGGCCCACAGCTGACCTTTGCCCAGAAATGAAGGTGCAAACTAGCCAAGACCACGGTAACTTGCCAAAGCCACGAGGGCCTGCCATGGGCTCTCCGACGCGCTGGCCGTTGGCTCCGACCTCCTGCTGCACCGCAGCACCAGCGTGGGCCCGGCCAGGCGGGCCGCTGAGTCGGAGGGGGCGATGGATGGCTGGGGGTGGGCTGGGGGTGGGCTGTGGGTGGCCGTGGGTGATGGGGGTGGGCTGTGGGTGATGGGGGTGATGGGGGTGATGGGGGTGATGAGGGTGATGGGGGTGATGAGGGTGATGAGGGTGATGAGGGTGGCAAAAACATTCGGAAACAATGGGAAGGCATTGCTTGAAGCATGATGTCGAAGGAGTAAAGAACCATTTTGGGTGTTGCTCGCACCCTCTATGTGCCCACTTCCTGACAGGTCATGTTTTCTCGTTGGCTTTAGGGACATGCTTCGACTGTTTGCCACCCTTGTTTGGTGTGGTGCGATGTGTTCGGGCTTCTTTCGGGGCTCCCCCAGAAGTTCGAAGTCAGCAATCCTCACCCAGCAGTACTACGAGCATGGGCCACAGGTGCTTTGAGGATGACAGCCTCGACCTGGTGTACATCGATGCAGACCACAAGTGGTGGAGTGTGCTTCAGGATTCCAGCGCTTTAGCTTTGCAACTTGCTAGGGTTCAGGAGACTAGGGACAACTCCATGCGAGTATTTCACTGCCAGCGTGGGCCCGGAGAAGCTTCACCTCGCGAAGGCAAGTGGCTGTTGAGCTCTGCCATTCCAAGTAACTGCTGTGTCCAGAACCAACAGGAACAATCAGATGCCGCTGGTCAAAACCCGATTTCAGAGGAAGGGCCAGCGTCCTCTGCTCTTTGTTGACTCACAAAATCAGCATGACCAACAAATCAGATTGTCCCTGTTTTCCTCGCGCGCGGCCCAAAAAAGCGTGTACATCCACGAAGCAAAGCACGTTGATTTATGTGAGAAGGGCCCCAGGGCATTCGCCGCCGCATTTGAACCACCACAATACCACTAATATCGTTCGCCTCTCATTTACCTGGCCCTTGTCCTGGAGTTCACTCCATTTTTCCTCCCATGAAGTTTTACTTACACTGTGGTACAATGTCTGTCCAATGCTCCATGATGATGGTGGGACAATTTTTCGTATGGTCCTTTGGCGGAGTTGTCCGCGGAAGCACATTGGCCCGCGGGTCACTTGGCAAGGACTTGACCGCGTGGTGGCCGAAGGTGCGACCAGGCGGCTTGATGAAGCTTGCCTGCAGCGGATACGGTCTGGGAAATCCGGAAATGGCCAGTGGCAATGGAATGCTTGGGTTAGAAAACTGTTTGGTTACGTTCCAAGGTCCTCCCCAGTAATTCTTAGCAATCTCTGGCTGAGCTGAGAGGTTGTCCGATGGTTTTCGGTGCAAGCACTTGGATTGAGCTCAGGATGGGTCACGACTTCCACTTCAACTCGCTAATGGCTCCCTGGAAGAACAGAGATGGCCAGATCTATTTGCTCAATGTGCTACGCAGTTGAACGTGTTCTTCCTTGCTGTTGCCTGAAGCATGTCTGACGGGCTGCCATGTGACAGAAGCCATGTTGTAGCATACTGGATGCAAAAGAAGACCAAACTGAGGGATGCCCAAACCGGCTGGACCTTCCATCAGTGCTGCTGTTGTTTCCCATGCTCCCTCAATTCTTCTGATCCGAGGAGCGGATCGGGGACGCGGCAGGTGACATGAATGAAGTCCCTTTGGCCGTGGCTGCCTTCTTCCGATCTCCGATGGAGGTGGAGCTCCACTCAAACTTTGTGTGGCACCTTGGCGTGGGAAGACGGCTTTCTCTTGAATCAGCTTGAGCATGTGGCCAGTGCTGGGAGGTTCCCCGATCATCAGCAACAAATGGCAGAAACCCAAACAATGCCATGAGCATGGAGGGAAACACTAAATGCTTTGTGAGTGAATGCCTGGTGTCATTTCCTACATGCCTCAACAACTTGAGAGATTCAGACCAATCTGCCAAAGGAAAAACTTCTGGTTCAACATGGTGCAACAACATGTTGGGTTGCCGGGGGGGGTTGCCCGGACCGAATGACAGTCACTCTTGTACGTGGGTTGGGAACTGCGCAAACCCTATGCGAATAGCAGTGAATCGTGGCTTCGGTGGGATCACAGGAAAGCCTGCGAATGTCCAACTTCGCGTATTCGAATCTCAGATTCGAATACGCGGTGCTGGCAGGCGCAGCAAACCCATCCGCTTGAAGCAGGCTCCAGGACTGTGGCCTGACTCTCTTAGTGAGAGACGGGCTGCCTTGTACATGCTTCGCAGACAAGTCATGAGCTGCGCTGACAACTTGCCGGCGGAACTTCCGTTCCTGCTCGGTACTGTGAGCGCAGCGGAGACAGGAACCAGCGTTCGGGAAGGTAGCTCCTTCGAACGCAAGAAGGCCCCAAGCCCTCTTAGACACCAGGTGTCTAAGACCACCTGGACCTGTGGAAAAGTGGTAACGCGTCAGATAAGCAAATAGGACTGCGCAGTTGCGTAGAGTAGAGCGCGCACATAGCGGAGAAGTCACATGGCGTGTTGGGCTGGGGGGTTGGGATCGACTAGTTTGAAACACAGTTTGGCCTCGACATGCTGAAAACGTGGGCCCGTGTTCTTTCCATCCCCCCCCCCCCCGTTCCCCCCGCGTGAACACGCTGAGGATCGGCATGCGCGGGGCAGCATGAAAGTCCGGGCAAACTGCCCCCCTCAACCCAACATTTTGGAGGTTGTTAGTTTGATTTGGACTGGCCCGCACATCGAAACCACCCCAACTCATGAAGCCGACCCCAAAACTTGCTGCAAGCCCGCCCCGAATCGAGAAACCCAACTCCACCGGTTGAAATCAGTTGCTTCACAGCAGGCCCCGGTTTCGCTGCCGCAGGTCGGTGCGGAAGGCCTTGCGGAGCGGCAACGCCACGGAGTCCCGGTGGCGACGCCAAGAGCTTTGCGAACTGCTGCGGAGGCGGGACATGGGACGGAGAAGGAATTCAGGGGATTAGAAGGACCGCAAATGGACGATGTTCATGTGGCTGTGGGTCAAAACCAATGGGATCCCATTTTGGGGTAGGTGCACCACCCGTTTTAGTCTATTTCCAGTGGGGATTGGGATGTTCAGTGGGGGTACGATTTGGATTTTGACCCGTGGCCTGTGAGAGACAAAAGGCTGTGCCGTCAGAGGCTTCTGAAGGGCACTGGAAGACGCTGGCTGACGTGCAGCTGCACAAAGTCCAACAAGATTTCAGCACCATGCCGCATGGACAACAAAACAGGCAACTGGAACAGTTTGCAGCAATCTGCCGTCCCATGTTCCTATGGCGCGTTGCTGGAAGAATTTGTTTGTCAATCTTTTTAAGCGCTGCTTCGGCCAAGTTCCGATGGCTTGCGCCCACCTATTCGCCTTCGGCATGCAACTACCACATGCAGGGCTTTAACCTCCCGTGCAGGAAGCTGCAGCCCCACTGGGACTTCGAGACGTGCTCGTTTGATTTCGATTTAGATATAAAATGATAATTTACGTAGCTTGTTTTTTGGTTCGGGCGATTGGACGAGTTTGAAATTGCGTTTCGTTTCGTTGACTAGGGCGTTCTCAAATTTTCGCATTTGTTTTTGGATTTCTTCGGCGGATACGCTGAATGAACGTTGACTGGCGTAGATCCGAGCCCCTGAGTGCGGAATAGCGAGGCTCCATGTGGCTTGGCGCGGATGTAGTTGCGCGACTTAATGCGGAGCGGCGCGGCCGCGCGTGTGGTTTCGTGCAGTTTGTTTGGGATAGCCGATTTATTCAGAGCGCGGAATAGCTCGATTTTCTCTGGATTGATATGAGGGCCGTCCTAAAACCCTAGTCTTCGGTTTTAATCATCGCCGAACGGGGAGAAGTAAAAGTTGTCAAAAGCTGTGCGCGCGCAAGGAGCGCGCAAGTGCGGCCCAAGGGACGCGCAAGGTTACAGTTTTGAAGGGTTTCATGTACTGATGTTGCCTAGTTTCATGAAAGGAGGTGACATTTTCTTGCTGTACTTGTGCTTTTCGAATCAGTCAGACGCCAAACGAAGCCAAAGCTTCTGCGGTCATGACTTCAACAATCAGCAATTGACACGACAAAATCCGCGCAAGCCGCGCGCAAGCCGCGCGCAAGTTGCGCACAAGCACGAGAAGCCCCAGCAAGACATCTAGCCATGCTGTCTCGGATGTCCTTAGCGGCGCGGTTCAAGCAATGGATAGGCACCCGCAACATGCACTTTCCTTCTTTCAGGCCGTGTCCAAGCTGTGTGGCAGAGCCTGCTGTTCTTTCTGTTGAGTCAGGTGTTGCTGGCATTGAATTGTCGGGAGCGACCTCAGCGGGAAAAGTCTTTGTGGGTTGCTGTGTGAACGACAAACACACTGCTTAGAAAAGCTTGCGCGCAATCCGCACGAAAACTTCGCAAACCGAGGTCAACGAAAACGAGTTTCTGCGCCACTGTGCGCGCGCAAGTCCGCGCAAGTGCCGCGCAAGTGCGGCCCAAGGGCCCAATCGCGGGCGAAGGAATATAGGACAACCCCCATATGGTTTAAAGCGGATTGTTGCGAGATATATTCTATAAATTATTTAATTTTGTAATATATAATTTATATTATCAAATGTTAAATAGGTAGATTTTTTAAAGTTTAATATATATTATTTATATTTAATATAGATTATTAAAATATTAAACTTTAGAGCCTCCGGCTCAGTCCGCCGACATTGTCCTCTCCCTTTTCTCCTTCTTCCTCTCTTCCTTGTCTCCCTTGTGTGTTCTGTCGTCCTCTCTCTCTGCTCCCATCCTCCCCATCCCCCCAAGCCTCTCTCTCCCCACTCTCCCTCTCTCGTATGTATGCATGCATGCACATATGTATGTATGTATGTATGTATGTATGTATGTATGTATGTATGTATGTATGTATGTATGTATGTATGTATGTATGTATGTATGTATGTATGTATGTATGTATGTATGTATGTATGTATGTATGTATGTAATGTATGTAATGTAATGTATGTATGTATGTATGTATGTATGTATGTATGTATGTATGTATGTATGTATGTAATGTATGTAATGTATGTAATGTATGTATGTATGTATGTATGTATGTATGTATGTATGTATGTATGTATGTATGTATGTATGTATGTATGTATGTATGTATGTATGTATGTATGTATGTATGTATGTATGTAATGTATGTATGTATGTATGTATGTATGTATGTATGTATGTATGTATGTATGTATGTATGTATGTATGTATGTATGTATGTATGTATGTATGTATGTATGTATGTATGTATGTATGTATGTATGTATGTATGTATGTATGTATATGTATGTATGTATGTATGTATGTATGTATGTATGTATGTATGTATGTATGTATGTATGTATGTATGTATGTATGTATGTATGTATGTATGTATGTATGTAATGTAATGTATGTAATGTATGTATGTATGTATGTATGTATGTATGTATGTATGTATGTATGTATGTATGTATGTAATGTATGTATGTATGTATGTATGTATGTATGTATGTATGTATGTATGTATGTATGTATGTATGTATGTATGTATGTATGTATGTATGTATGTATGTATGTATGTAATGTATGTATGTATGTATGTATGTATGTATGTATGTATGTATGTATGTATGTATGTATGTATGTATGTATGTATGTATGTATGTATGTAATGTATGTATGTATGTATGTATGTATGTATGTATGTATGTATGTATGTATGTATGTATGTATGTAATGCATGTATGTAATGTATGTATGTTGTATGTAATGTATGTATGTATGTATGTATGTATGTATGTATGTAGGTATGTATGTAATGTATGTGTGTATGTATGTATGTTGCATGTATATAATGTATGTATGTATGTATGTATGTATGTGTGTATGTAATGTATGTATGTATGTATGTAGTGTATGTAGTGTATGTATGTATGTATGTATGTATGTATGTATGTATGTATGTATGTATGTAATGTATGTATGTATGTATGTATGTATGTATGTATGTATGTATGTATGTATGTATGTATGTGTGTGTGTGTATGTATATATGTATGTATGTATGTATGTATGTATGTATGTATGTATGTATGTATGTATGTATGTATGTATGTATGTATGTATTTATGTATGTATGTATGTATGTATGTATGTATGTATGTATGTATGTATGTATGTATGTAATGTACGTATGAATGTATGTATGCGTATAATGTATATACGTATGTATGTATGTATGTATGTATGTAT